AATAAGAATAATAATAATAATAATAATTATGATTATAATAATAATAGTAATAATGATAATTATGATAATAATGATAATGATAATAATGATAATAATAATAATGATAATAACAATGATGATGATGATGATGATGATAATGATAATGATAATAATAATAATCGTAATAACTTCGTATAGCATACATTATACGAAGTTATACGATTGTTATTATCACTATTATTATTATCATTATTATCATTATTACTATTATTATTATAATCATAATTATTATTATTATTATTATTGTTATTATTATTATTATTATTATTATCATTATTCCTATTATTATTATAATCATAATTATTATTATTATTATTATTGTTATTGTTATTACTATCATCATCTTTATTACTATCATTAGTAGTAGTTGTAGTAGTATCGTAATAACTTCGTATAGCATACATTATACGAAGTTATACGAATAATAATAATAGTAATAATAATAATAATAATAACAATGAAGATCATAGTGTTGTTAGTAATAACGAGGATAATAATGATGATAATATCAATGGTAATAGTTTTAATAATCAAAATAGTTGCAGATAAAAGTAGTATTATTAATAATGGTAATAATGATAACAATGATGATCATCATGATAGTAATAATAATGATAATAACATTAATAATGATAATGAAAATAACAGTCATAATGATAATGATAATGACATTCATAATGATAATGATGATAATAATGGAAATAATAATAATGATAATAATAATAATAATAATAATAATAATAATAATAATAATAATGATAATAATAAAAATAACAATAATAATGATAACAGGAATAATAATGACAATAATAGTAAGAGGGTCAAGGACTACATCCCGAAGAGCAAAATGGAAGCCGGAGAAAGCCGAAAGGAACAAGAGATCTACTATGAATAGTTAAAATAATTCTTCTGGAAGTGATAAAATGGAAGAAGAAAGTTGTCAGCGGCATGGGTGGATTATCGGAATGCGTACGACAAGATCCCACTCTTGGCTAATGGAATGTCTGGAGGCACAGAGGTTCGAAATCTGCTAAAAGAGACTCAGGAATCACGGGGAGTTGAGATAATGCGCAGAAATGAAATATTAGGAGTAAGAATAAGGAGAAGGGCCTCTCAAGGGATGCGTCATTACCTTTGTTGTCTGCCATACAAGCGTCTTGAGAAAGGCAGCATTTGGGTAGGAGCTTGCATCAGATAAGGCCAAGATGAACCATTTGCTGTATGTGGACGATCTAAAATTGCCAGGGAAAACAAAGATCTTGAATCATTACTACAGACAGTCAAAACTTTCAGCTGACATAGGAATGGAATCTGGCCCCGAGAAGTGTGCATCACTTATCATCAAGAGAGGAGAGATCGTTCAGTCTGATGGCATTACTTTGCCAGATAACAAAATGATAAGGAATTTGCAAGAAAACGAAAGTTGCAATTGCCAGGTATTCAAGAGCTAGATGATATAAAGAGATCAGAGATGAAAGAAAAAGTCAGCAAAGAGAATAAGCGTAGAGAGAGGAAAGTGCTAGAGACAATATTGAATGGAGATAACATCGTTAAAGCAGCCAATACATGGGCTGTTCCCGAGGTCAGGCACTCTGCTCCCTTTCTAGACTGGAGGAAACAAGAGATTCAAGAACTGGATAAACGCCCTGGAAAGCTAATGGCGATGCACAAAGCACTCCATCCAAAAGGCAATGTAGACCAGCTGTGTATTTCACGAGACGAGGGTGGAACGGGACTTTTCAGCGTGGAAAATACGAGAAACGTCAAAAATCGGACTAGAGAGGAACACAAAGGAGAGCAAGGGGCGACTCCTGAGTGCAGCTAGAAGATCAGGCTTGGAAGTAAATAGAACAATAAAAGAACAATAAAGATCGAAGATCAAAATAAGGCAAGGAAAGCTGGGAGAAGGGAGTCCTGCATGGCCAATCTATTCGACAAACTGAGGAGATTGCTGGAGAAGAAAGGTGGGAACGGTTACAAAAATCGGGACATTAAGAGGATAACAGAAGCTCTCATCCTCGCAGCCCAAGAGCAGACCCTTTGGACGAACTCATCAAAGCCAAAATCGACAAAACGCAGCAGGACAGAAAATACCGAATGGGCGCTTGGGTTGAAGAAGAAACTGGCGGAGAGCAAAAGAGCTAGGACTTGAGGAAGGCCTTGAACATTTAGGAGACGCTGTCGCTAATATCAAGGAGACATTACCACTGAATGAAATGAGATACTGTCAATGTGCGATAATTCAATAATAATGATAACAATAATGATGATGATGATAATGATAATAATAATAATAATGATAATAATAATAATAATAATAATGATAATAACTATAATAGTAATACTAATAATGATGATAATCTTACTAATAATGACAATAATAATAGTATTGATAACAATTACAGCAATAATAATGATGATGATGATAATAATGATAATAATAGTAATGATAATGATAACAATAACAACAACAACAACAACAATGATAATAATAATAATAATAATAATGATAATAATAATAATGATAATAATGATGATGATAATAATAATAATAATAATAATAATAACAATAATAAGAATAATAATAATAATAATTATGGTGATGATAATAATAATTATAATAATTACAAAATAGTAATGATAATAATGATAATGGTGATGATGATGATGATAATAACAACATTATTAATAATGATAACAGTAGTAGCAGCAATGATGGTAATAACAAATCGATTAACTTACCAAGAGGAAATGAAATAGTAGTCATGTATGTGTGCTGCCTTTGATATAAAACTCAAGTGGTTCAGAATGCGTCTGTCAATCTGCCATGGTTCCTCTTACTAAACACATGTTTTCGTGGCGAACGCGATCGGTATTCAGGGATACCATTACACCAGCATGGAAATGATTAATAATACATTATTGTTTGTATAATGGAATTAAGGAAAGTAGTAAACAAAAACAAAACTGAATGGCTCAGATCAGTTATGCATACAGGAATGACGGTAGCCCATGTAAGCCTATCATTCCTTTATCAAAATTAAGTGAGACACCTGTACCACTGAACAGTACAAATGCACCATCGGTGGTACATGTACCACCGGTGGTGTTTGAGAACCCCTGCTTTATGTATACAAGCGTTGCATGCGACACTATACCGAACCTTTCATTTCGTGATTCAAACGCCGCGCCCTTTGCTTCCCCCGGTCGCCGCCAGGGGAACGTGGAGTGACGTCACTGTAAACAAACGTAAAGAGAAACACGGGAGCAATGACACTGCTCAGCTGTGTGTCTTCTGTCCCGTGTTTGTAAGTTATTTGAGGAATTTAGTTTAATGCATGTTCGATGTGGATTAATGTGTCACTGTACAGCGGGAGAGTGTCATTCAGTGTAATCAGAATAGCCAATGAACACCAAATCGCGGTAAGGAATTTAGCCTAGGAATGTTGACATGAATTGGCTCTTCCTGATACTTCTATCTTCGGTAGACAGGATAAGATTTTTTTCGATGTGAATATAAGCAGCACTTTCTCATTATCCAGATGGAAATCTATCAGGTCTTAGAGGAAACATTTAACTAGATTCAATAACATCTCAAGTTCCAAAACATTAAGTAATCACTTCAGTGGTTTTTGCCATTGGATCCACAAGTGCTACAGATATTAAGAAACAGTTGTCAACGTTATCTTACAGTCAGACTGCATGACACCTGTGCTATTAGGTTCGTTACAGATTGATTGTATTTGATGTCTATAGTCTAGTCCTGGTATGGTGTAATAGAGATTGGTTAATTGATGAATAGAGAGAGAGATAGATAGAAAGAGGTACATTTTTAAGTTACACACACACACACACACACACACACACACACACACACACACACACACACACACACACACACACACACACACACACACACACACACACACACACACACACACACATACACATACACATACACATACACATACACATACACATACACATACATATATATGTATGTACACACAAATATGTACATCTATATGTACATAAACACACATACATCACAAACATGCACACCCACAAACCCACATGCACACCCACCTGCATTCACACCCACACCCACCTGCACGCACACCCACACCCACCACACCCGCCTGCACACACACCACGCCCTGCACACACACCCACACCCACAACACGCAACCCCACCAAACCACACCCATACACAGACCTACCCACCCAACCCATACCTACCCACATGCACACCACCCACCCACATGAATACCCACCCACCCACCCACATACCCACCCACCCACCCACACGCACACCCACACGCACACCCACCACTACACACTCAACACCTCACACGCACACCACCCACCGCACACGCACACCACCCGACACGCACACCCCGCCACACGCACNTCTTTTACATATGAAACTTATATCTGGGAAGTACTTCTTTGAAGCAAAAAAGGCTTATACATATGAATATACTTGTCCTATACACATAGCTATTTACAGACCAACTTTTACATATCAGTATCACTGCTTGGCATATACGACGAATGTTAGGCAAATTTTTTTTAGTAATAACTGCCTAACAAATCTACCAAAACTATCACATATTAATTCTAAAATTAAATACAGAGTATTGTTTATTATTTTAAAGGAATACTATATGTATTGCTAAAACTCTCTTTATATAAAATTAGTAATATTTACTATCACTTTGTTATCAAAACTCATAACAAAATCCACTTCCAAATGTTAAATCACAACTTTCATCTTTTCCAACCTGAAAAAAATACTTTTGTCACATAATAAAACAACCTGAGGACAGCATGATCTGGAGCTCACAAGTTGTGACTAAAAAATCATTTGTAAAAATGTAAAAAAAAAACATGTTAAAAGTACAATCATATAAATATACATTATTTCTGCCTCCTTAAAAATCAACTATAAAAGTAAAATTCTATAATTTTACGAAAACAACAAAAGAAAAAATGTTTATATATATATAAAAACATTTATGGAGTGACACACTTCTGGCAGACCTTCGTCAATCACCTCGGCCATTGTTTGAGGCTAAAGGGCAGATGACTTCATTTGCCATTCAGAGATTAGCCTTCATCAGTGGCCGCAAGTACTTATAATAGGCATCGGGAACATCCTTCTGATTAAGGGGACTTTTCAGAGCCTCGTCATATAACCTGCCGAAGGAGTAGATTTATATCACAATACAATAACAACGAACTGAAGCAGTTAGAAAAGGTAAGAATTTACTGAAATAAAAGTTTTACAGATATTCTTGAACGAGAGGCTGAATAACTCCTGTTATTTACGCTAATTCTAAAATCCTGTTTTATCTGCATTCTTCATGTTTTATGTTTTAAAATAATACCTATAAAACAAACAGTCTGAGCATTCCAAGTCATTAAGAGAAAATCAAATCAAATTCCTATTCTTAATAAGAATACTCCCTCAATGCAAAAGAATTTTCGCTTTCTTCTTACCAATGAAAAAACAAAGAAAATACAAAAATTATGAATGAAGAACAAGAAAAGAAATGAGAACATAATGTAGCATAAAAAAAGAAAGTCAAAACTAAAACTGTCTAAAACCAAAAAGCCTTCCTTAGCCTGTACATAATGCTTGATGTTCGATATGAAACCATTTGAATAAGCATCAATACTTAAATGGAAATATATTACAGGTTTTACATGGGGTGAATATTTTAACATACACTGGAGTACTCAGCTTTCATTTTCATCAATTTCTATCAAATGTTAACTTCAAGAAAATTAAGAAAATGCCTAGTAGACATGTGCAGTAGAGAATGAGCAAAAATATTATTGAGGATTTTCTAAATAAAGACATGAATAAAAACTAAAAGCCATCCACATTTACTTGCAGCATTCATACATTTTTGGGGGATCAAAATTCCATGACTTTTCAATGACTTTTTTCAGAGAGGATTTGGACTTTTTACATGTCTCTTTTCACAGTTTTCCTTGAACATTTGTTGCATATTCACAATACATAAAACCCATTACATGTACAAGGACTAATTCCAAATTTATGCTGTCAAATATAAAAGATTTAAATAATGCCTTGTGAGTGTGCTTTATTGACACTTCAGTGACTAGTTACTTGTAATGGATCAGCCTGTATCAATTAAGGCTATATAATATTTCAACTTTTCATTCAGTTACCTCAATCATCCTTTCTTTCTGAAGGTTCTCTCAGAACACATATTGATAAAAAAATAATAATCTAAGACAGACTTATATTATTTTTAAGAAAAATAGTAAATTTCCATGATTCTCTAGACTTGAAAACAAAAATATTCTCTATGATATTCCAGGTCTATAAATCTCAATCTCAAATCCCGTAATTTTTCATGATTTTCCCGGACCTGATTGAACCCTGTACTTCAGATTTCATCAAAGATCAAATACAGTAAAGATATATATATATCATCTTATCAAATCATATAGATAGCCACAAAAAATAACCTATCAGCAATGCCCAGTAGCAAAACTATTTGATATTCAACACCCATACCTCTGATACACGTTTCCATCTTTGCTGCCAAGAACGGAGTCGAGAATGAAGTCGTCCAAGTCAAAAGCATCAACAATGGAGACTGCCTGGGGTCGGAGAGCTGCCAGAAGATCACCCATCTCTTCTTCCAATGCCTTCATATCACTTGCTGTTAAAGCTCCACACTACAAGGATAATGACAGAGGTAAATGATACAGAGATCTGAGGAAAGTTAACACATGTTTGGCCATACTGAGATGAAACCTGAAGACGTTTTAGAACCTATTATGAGTCTAAATCAAATATACAGGCTTCACTTTTTGGCATAAAATACTGATTACTGATGCTGTTACAACACAAAGAACAATGTAGCGTTCACTCATAACCTTGATACCAGTTCTCTGCACTTTGACCTCTAAACACTTCTCCTTCTACTTTCTTTTTTAAGAATTATCTTGATTTCTGGCAACTAGGTCTTGCTAGGTCAGGTTGTTGGCACCTGACTAGGTCTTGGTTAATTTCTAGTTCAGTAATTATTCAGGATTGAAAATTGTTGGACTATCTTTTCAACTGGTTTAGTATGCTGATCAAAAAATATCTGGAATCTCTTGAAATTTTTTGTCAGTCTTTAATCAAGGAAAAAAAGAGTAGCTAGTGACCAATTTTAGAAGACTGCAGCTCAACATGCTTCTTGATGAGCATAACCAAAATCACAAACCACCAACACCCCACTGATAGACTGGACCAAAACTCAACTGTCAACATTAATTTGATACTAATATGGAAAGGGTTCTTAAGTCTTACTTGACCCTAAAAAGACTTAAAACTAAATCTACAGACCTACTACAAAGAAGTCCCCCAACAGGAATTTCTTAAAAATATAAAGAATAAAGAATTAATAATGAACTAAGAATAACAGACTAGAAAGACTTACCCTCAGGAAGTCACCCTGGTGGACTATGATGTGATTTACAACATACAACCGACACAGGTTCCTCAAGATTGTCCTTAATCCATCACTCAGCTTGAGGTTCTCAATGGCCTGCACATACTTTTCACACACATAGTACCGTGTATGCACCTAAAAGGCAAGGGCAAATACCATTTGAATCAGAATATAATGGATTATCAAGAATGACAAAATAAGATTTGTATTTGTGATATATGGGTATTAAATTATTTGATTCTGACTATTTAGAATTCTCACAATATGCACTTGCACCTAATGGAAATGAAATGGAGAATTATTTTTCTTTATACATGTAAATCTAACACTGACCTGAGCACACTTAACAAGGAAGACAGACATGTTATTCCAAGCATGATGATAATCTTGTCCTTTACTGCACAGATGCTGTAATCTTGATTCCACTTCCGCCACAATTGCACATACCGACTTTCTACATGCTCCTAAAAGACCTATTGATAAGAAAAACATCAAGTTCACTACTACATAATCAATGCCTTATTTGCATAAAACAATCTGGAGACAAATGCATATCAGGTTGTATTTTCAATCATAAATGAGTACTAGTCTAAATTATACAGCCAAGTCCTACATTCAAAACTGAAAGAGATGAATAAAGAAGGAAAGAAGTAAGTAGTGAATAAGCCACTTATCTATTGACATTTCTTACCAGCATCAGACAGATCAGCTCTTATCTCTGTTGTATTTTTACCAACTAAGTAAGCCACTGATGGACCTACAACTTCTCCACGCTTAGCTGCTTGATAAGACTTGATGAGGTACCTGTAATCACAAACTCAAAATCTGAAGGGCTATGAATTCCTAAAAGTTTCACAGTATTTTCACACACACTATAACAAGCACTGGAAATGATGAAACATTTGATGATAACAAAGATATTCATACCAAATATTACAAACATAAGTTTTTACTACACAATAATTATCTGTAATACTGATTTACTTACCTGGCCACCTGAAGCCATAAAACAGTATTTTCACCCTCATAGGTCATAGTAGCTGTACAGAGGGTGTAAAGACGTGGGAAACTTGACGAAGCCAAATACCCGTGTCCACCACATGACAGACGACAGATGTCAATGCCTGATGTGGAATCCGTAGAACTAAGGGCTTTCAGGCCACATGATATTGCATGCAGCTGAAATCATATGTTGTTCATTATATCGATACTATTAACTCTGTTATAAAGACATTTTGTTACAGAAAGAAAGGAAACCCTAATTCCATAACCTATAAAAGCTTATTTTCACTAAAAATGTGTCTAAAATGCAAACTCTGTCTTATTTGCATTATATAATCCTTGATTCCATATATCTTTCAACATGATTCAAGATTCATCATTTACAAAGGTATAAGCAATTCATTCAACCTACTTCAGGTAACATGGCCAAGTTGCCTTTGTTCATGCTTGTTGTGGCCTCAATGAATGTATCACCAACACGGCGAGCAGCGAACAACAAGGCAAACACAGTTGCAATTTGTGGCAGGACTTTATACTGCTGGGTTTGGTAGTCTAGAATCTGTGGTTCCGGCATTCTGTTTGTGGCAAACAGGAGGGCACTATACTGCTGGTTTAGTCTAGTCTGTTCCTTCTGTTTGCAAAATATAGAAATTACATAAAGACACTGAATAACATTTTGAAAATATATCATTAAAAATACTCAAATCATTTATATTATACAACTCATTTATTCTCAATGGAATCTGATATCAAAACACTGGTAAAAAGAGACAAATAGAGACAATACCCAGGAAGCATTTCTGACTGATGGCGAACTGCAGAATAACGCGTGGCAATAGTTACAGCTTTCTGAAGCAAGTGGCATGAGTAGAAGCATATGCCAACCCTCACATACACCATTGTGCCATACGCTAATTTACTACTCAAAGGCTTCACGTATGTTCCGTCCTAAAATAGATTAAATGAATAAAACATTTAAAGAACAGTTTGGCCTTTCTCCTTTAGATGCATAATAAAACTATCAAAGAGTTCTTTTAACTGATGTTCTTTTTTTCATCAAGTTAGTGGTTTTATGATTACAACATATACGGCATGCTCCAGTTACTAAGAGTTTATTAATCACAATTGATGAAACATTTTCTTCTTTTGAAATTTACAAGTGGTCAAAGAACAGAAATAGTTCTCATTCTGAAAACTCCCAGACACACTACTTATAACCTACGGCCATAAGGACTGTACTGTATAACGTTTTTTCCTCTATTGTAAATCCTTTGCTAATGTAGAAGTTACATGCAGGTGATTTATCAACAAATTCAGACAATCGTAACAGGAGAACAACTTCCCTTAGATTCTAAATTCAATACATTTTTATGGTAACACTTCATGGCAGTCAATTATATGCCTAAACAGATTCTAACAATTCTTAAAGCAAGTGATTTAGAGAGCAATTTTTTTTTTTTTTTTTCTTTTAATTGCCTCAC